TTATGTACACTATTTACATTATTCAGACTATTGTCTTCATCTTTGTTGCCATATTTATTACAACGTTTCGGCCATTGTATGCTCCGGCCTTCTTCATGTGGTTGGAATGTCGAACTGAACCCTTTATTTCGTTTAGGGTAAACTGTTCTAGTTCTACATGCCATGTCTTTTTTATCTCCTGTTAATTCCCGTCTTCAAGTTCTCCACCTCCTTAACCAGGTATTGAACTCACACTCTTTGGGTCCTGTCACTGGATCTAACTAATGCCTTTATCCACTGTGCCATGTGTCCTTGAGGACATCTGTATATGAATTTCTGGGTATAATAAACTTAATGTCTTTTACCAGAGCTCATATTGCAATTTTTATTGTTATTATCACTTTTCTCTGGCACTCCTTATTACTAAGAACCAGTATGCAATATAAACTCTGGTAAAAACATGGAATGATAACAGCAAAAATTGCATCATGAGGACCAGAAAAAAATGTTGCTGAAGCCATTAGGTTTATAATACCTAGAAATTCATACACATATCCTCAAGGATACATGGCACAGTGGCATTAGTTAGATCCAGTAACAAGACCCAAAACATACAACGGCCAAAATGTTGTAATAAATATGACGAAAAAAGACGAGGACAATAAACCAAATAATGTAAATAGTAAATCACATCCATTGTAAATATAAAAAGAGAATCAATATATATCTTAGTTTTAATTTGATAGTCACAGAACAGCTTGAAAGCAATGGGAACAGAGTAAAACAACGCATAACCTATCTAACAAACTTGAGTAAATGCATGGTAGAACAAGGTTTATTCATTTTTAGTAAGAGCTACAAAGGACACTAAACTAAGGAGAGCCATGATTGCCAAAGTTCTGAAGGGCGATGGCACATAGAAGAAGAATATCTCTAAAATTCAGTGCCTTTATCTAATGACTACTGAAATAATGGTTAAGGATTCTCAGCATAGTTGATAGAATGACATGATAATGAAATGCAAGACATTGAAGTAATCAGACAGTGCCCTGGGTCACAAAGCAGTCTTTTCACTCGGTACTTGAGCCAAATATATTATATCCAAGGTCAGAGAAATCACTGAAGAGATGACTACAGTACCATGACCACACTGTTATCATGAAACAATGGATAAAACTGACTTTCCCAAATTCCAAACACGTTTCACTGATCAGGAACTATCATAACTCATTTGGAAATACTGATCCCAATGGATAACAAAGAGACATTGGTAGAAATACTGACTCAAACAAGAATAAGGATATATAGCATTGATCTCACTTCATGCATACTTGGGTATTTTCTCTAAGAAGCCATTGCTGAATTCACAAGGATTACAATAATCATTGCAGGAATACCAATGAGGTCAATTTGTTGCCTGTTCAACTTTGGGCATTGTTCAGGTTAAGTGATAAACAATAGCAAATCTTAAATTGTATTGACTCAGAAACAATACATGCTAATCTATTCTTAACTTTACAGTAAAAAAAAAAAATCTTTCTCTAGATATACAAACAAGTATTTCAACCAAGAAGGTTCTTAAGGTAAATCAACTATTATGTATTCATCATGAGTTTAGAACATTGTACAAATGAAGTGTCTTTTTTTTTTTCAGTGTGTTACATATATAAGTATTACAGGTCAGTTACAATAATGTATTGTTTTGCTTATTGACTGATAAGTGCTATCTTTATCTAAAAACAAACAAACACTTATTTCAGATAGTTCTCTGTAGGATTGATGTCTTCTTTGCATAGTCCAAAGGATTGAAATAGAAAGAATGTGGGTTCAGGTCCTCTTAACAATAAGTACAATAGAAGAGCAAAATCTCAAACACCTTTATTAATGTTTGCACTAAATTCAGGGATAAATGGGTATAAACAACTAAGGTCACAAGACCTCAGTTATATTTTTACTGTTTTCCAGTATATCACAGGTACCAAATTAATTTTTTAATCAGCTATATATCCTATATTGATAAGCAATTTTTTTAAAATAAGATTGTTTAATGAAAATATAAATAAAAACACTAGTCATTTCATTTAAACATGAAAACAAGTTTACTCAAATACTTATAATTAGTAGCAAAGAATCATTTATGATTAATAAGTGGCTGATTTACCTGATTTGAGTGCTTTAATTTTATATATTTTCTAAATAGAAACTCAATTGAAGACATCCAGGTGTGTCTGAAGGAGAATAAAGTAAGGTATTTACTTTGATGAGTTTATACATAAGCAGGATATTTTTTTAAAGTATTAATATGATATTTTACATGCTTATTAGTATATCAATAAAAATGTTCCTGCCAATAACCCATATTTCTTTAACCTTGTGACAGATAGCAACTAAGTGATAGTCTAGCAAAATAACATCTGATATGAAAGTGCAAACAAAAGTATAAGTGTGAATTCCTCTAGGTGGAAAATATTACACCCACTGACATCCATTTATGGTTGATGAATGATTATAGTTGTTAAGCAGTATTCTACATCAAATAATGCATTTCAGATGTTAAGAAGTATTGTACATTAAATGATGCATTTTAGTCATGTCAACAAATATGGGGATCAAATTCACTGATGCATGTTTTTACAAGCATGGCATGTGACCTCTTGTTTATTATTGGTTAAAATGTATAACCAATGGTGCTGACTATATAATGTTTTGTAGTTTAAAACTTTCTCTGTTCATTAGTGTTAAAGTACTCTCTGTATCTGTTTTGTTTCTAGGAAAGGTATTCATTTCACAACCTCCTTCATGCTTGTTTAGAAATGTATGAATATTTTACTTAAAATGGAAAATATTTTTATAATCATTTGAATTTGGAAAAATAATAAAATACTGTATTTTTATTAACAACAAAAAATCATCTACTAACTTCTCCATTATATTAAGCAAATTATCAACTAGCAAATATATTTGCTAGTCTAAAGAAAACAAAAACAGGTTAATACAATAAATATTTATTTAGGATACCTTATGTTGACTGCTGGTTTTTTTATTGGCATTTAGATAAGAAACTGTTGTTATTGTACTTAAAATGAAAATTTCTATAATTGTTTTTATAATTAGCTTAGGGTCTTAAAATAAATTAAAGTAGTAGAATAGTGTCTGCCATTGGATGCAATATCCAACATAATAAAGGAAAACTTCCCTGAAAATATGTTGTTGAAAATTAATAAGTGTTTCAAAACAAAGAAAAGATTTATCTTAAAAAATCCTAGACACTCTAAAAAAAATAGGAGCAGATGCAGTTTATTTACTTCACATCCATTATTTGTGAATTTGCATGTAGCTGAATTCTTTTGTTATTATTACAGTGAAAAAAAAAATGGATTTTTTTTTTTGGGGGGGGGGTTAATTCTACTCCTTCAAAATATTCAAAGAAGAAGCAGTCTTTTGAAATTAAACACTATGCAATAACACTTGATAGAAACTAGAAAATGTACTAATCACAACTTGGAACTCTAAATACAATGTAGATAAAATCTTTACTAAATTAAAAAAAAAAAAATTCTCAAAATCTAATTCAAAATTGTTCTCATCATACAATCAGGTCATCTTCTATTTCAGGACATGCACAATCAGGGGTCTCTACAATTTCTTATCCCGTGTAGCTCTAAGCAGTATCTTTACCTTTATCATCCCTCCCAGTCAGTGTTTTACCATCCATTTACACAAGTACATTAAGTTACTCACTGTTGACCCCTGCCCCTCTTGCTTTTAATATGTATGAGTTAAATTCTTCAAGCTGTCTATTTCATTGCCTATTTCATCTCCATTTACCTTAAAACTTTTAACAGTAGTTTATAAAATATAAATTCAATCCTTTGGTATATTCTGTGGTATGATGGTTAAAATTCTTGCAAACCACCTTGCTAGGATATTGGATTTGATAATGTTCATTTAACAATATTCAAAATGCCTGGAAGAAAGAAACATTTTTACAGTTCTCAGACAGAAGGGTATCCACATAAATATAAAAAAAACTAATTTAGAGTAAGTTTTAAATAAGTATCTTTACATATTTACTGTTGTCTTTACTTTGGTACAGTTATGGCTCATAAAAAAAAGCAATATTTATAATATACTACATTTATGATATCAGAAAACCTAACTGGTTTCAGATGAAGGGCTGTAGGATATATAATGCAATAAAAATATTTGTTAGAATTGGATAACTCTGACACAATACTAGACATGTATAATATCTGATAGAAAGTAACACATTAGCCACTTTGGTACAAAGCAATATTAGCTACTGTTCTATAAAAGAAGATATATGAGATTAGAGATTATATAGAATTGTATATATATTTACTTATCTTTAATCCAAGATTTGAAGTAGATGGCCTATTTTTTTATTTTAAGCAGTGTGTATTGTATCTATCAACCTGTACACTCAAGAAAAGAAGAAAATGTGGTCTCTGGAAGGGTTTAAACCTGTTTCCCTTTGTAAGAGGAATCACTGTTTGATCCAGTGTGCTTTGGACCACTTGGCCACAGAGAGCCTCACAGCCTAGCAAGGTTTTCTTTATTAAGTTTTCTCAGGTGCACAGGCTAATAGACATAATAAACACTGTTTAAAATGAAATAAAAAAAATAGGATGTTTATTTCAAACATGGGTACCCACTAAAAATATCATTTGTAGTAATAAAAAATATTTACCTATATAAATTAATGCTATACAGAATTTATTATATGCAAAGATTTTGCACTTATATAAATATTAATGTTATTTTTAGAATGATTATTTGAACCAATAATTTAATCTTTGTTGGATTGAGTCATGTTACCTGAGCTTATTTGCACAATGTTTTCATGCTTCAAATGTGACATGTTTTGTTGAAATGCTTATCTTCAGAGCTGATGATGCTATAAAAGTATAATACAGTGCATATGACAGTCTCAACACATGGAAGACAGAAAAAATACAATATAAAATGGACAGATTATTGTAGAAACAACTGAAACTAACCTGAGTCTTCATCAGAGGAGTCTTCATCACTATAGTCAACAGTTCCTCTACCATTCATCAAGTGCTTATTTGCCCGTCTTCCGCCTCTCCTCAGAGACATGCCTCCTTGTATGAGATAATTGGGCTTTGGTTCCTCCTCCATAAGACTTGGTACAGAAGGATCACTCAGTGATGTGGGCAGTGGTTTCAAATTCAAATCTTCTGCACAACACTCATCATTATCACACTGATCTGAATATTGTGTGGCAGCACATGCTGCCCCACTAGCCACAGCAGACAAGTCAATATCATCCTTCTTATCTTCTGCACTTACTTCAGAGCTAGATCTCTTTTCAACTGTGATATTACTACTGCTGGCTTTACAATTAAAAGTATTACTTTGAATGTAGCCCTGTTCTAAACCCTCTTTTTCAGGTATTTTACTGCTCTTACTGGACATTTGTGGTGAAGTTGTACCACTATTCTCTAGATTTTGTACACTGCCTTTAGCAGGCTGTACAAGAGATGATTCAGTGGAGTTTTTGTTGAGATTTTCTTTCTCTGAACACTGACTACCAAGTTCCTTGGAAATATCATTGTTTTGCAAATCTATCTGAGTTAAATTGCTCATTGCTTGCATATTATTATTCTTCATTCTTTCTGCAGAAAGATTGTGTTCTGATCTAATGTTTGTATAATTCTCATTTTGAGGAAGATTCATATTGACACAAAGTTCATGATGTGCATCTTTCAGAAGTTGAGAACTGCTACTTTTGTGTTCTTTTCTCAAATCTTTATTTTCTATGGTCCCAGGTTTACAGTCACTTGAAATATTAGACAAATTTGTACTACCTTTATTAAAACAAATTTCAGAAGTAATTGAGGAATTATTATGATGTTCTCTAATTAATAATTTCTTGTCAGACTGATCAATGTTTTCATTATTGTCTGGAGAAAGATTCAAAGAATCTTCTTCAGAAGGGTTTTCTGGAATCCTGCTTATATCAATTTCAGCAGAATCAACGCCATAATCTTCAAGGAAATCAAATGCTCTGTTGATTTGCTTGCTGGCAATGCTTTGATTTCGGCCTGGTTTTTCCCGAATTCTTACATTATCATCATCTTCTGTCTTTTCCAAGTTAGAGACTTTCTTTGACCGAGTTAGTGTATTTGAAGAATAGTTTATCACATTTCCACTGAGTAACTCTGTGTCACTCTCTGACTTCTTCATGGCTGCTTCCATGTCCGACTGGTCCATTATGTCAAAGCAGCTACTAATCACATGTGAACAACGTTGATCTGACTGCATGGCAGCTGTTGAAGCGGCTGTTGGGATACGCCGTGTCACTTGATCAGTCATCTTTAATGTTTCTTCTATATTTTTTCCACTCTCTTTGGTTCTATTCAGTAAAGATCATCATGAAACATGTCTGAAATGAAAAGAATTAGATTATCAGTTATTGGAAAAGAGAAGGATTAAAATTTCCTGCATATTCTGCAAAATAATCTTTAATCTTAAAGATACTTTAATCCTGTTCCAGAAAGTACACAATAAATTTTTCAAAGAAACATGTATCTGGAAAGAGGGGAGGGAATAAAAGACAAATTGTTTATTTGAAAATGTACATTAAGATTGTTATCATGAAATACTAACAAAATAATAGTAATAATTAAACAGTATACAAGAAAGCAAATAATATAATAAGAAACATTAGACAAGCTCTCCACGTCTGTATAACTTCAATAAACATTCATTTTGTGCTTATCAATAATGTATGTAATACAAGCCATTTCAATATATATTAAGATGTATTGTCATATGAATTTAAATCCTTTACAGTTTGGGAGGATTATTCTACAAAGAAGTAAAGTTTAAACAGAATAAAAGAAAAAGAATTTTGTTACTTGTTTGTAATGCTTCATAGAAATCAGCAGAAATATTAGATAAAGTTGAATGCCTAGCAAGTGTTTATTTGATTAAAAAATTTCAACAGATAAGCAGACATTGATCTGACTTGTACATTTTATTTTTGATTGGCTTTGCTTTTAACCAATCACAAAAAACGAAAATAATTATGAAACAAATATTCCCATGAATTACAAACAAAATCCAAACATAAATTCTCTTTGACAAAAAATACCAGATGGAGCTTAACATTTCATTATCAAAAGAATATGTAGACATTTACCTTGAAAACACTATTTTTTGTGTAACTATAAGTAAAATAGGTTACCCATTAATAATATAATTGCAACAATACAAATACATAAGCAGAGAAAATTTAAAATAGAAAGCATTTGCAAATTGAGAACATGACAAATCAGATGAAATCTAGACAGTTACAGGAAAGACTTCAATTTTATATATAAATAGAAACCAAAAGCTTCAGAATATATTTTGATGTGTTCTCTCAAAAGAACCAAATAAAATACCTTTTCCAAACACCAAAAAAGTTATAATGTTGAATATAGAAAATTGAACAAAATTTGTTTCAATAAGTGATCTGGTTTGAGAATAATGATAATAAAAAAATAGTTATAAATAAATTAATGAAGAGATGCTAAACCACTTCCTAAAGTTTACCCAAATAAACAGATATCAAATTCTTTTTTTTTTAGAAGAGCTAAGAAGCTGAGGACTTTTCAGCACCCTCTCCTATATACATTATTTTTCATTAATGCTGTTATCAAGTATAAATGTATCAATTCTAAAGTTTATTTGACTGAATAAAACCACCTATCCCTCTCATTATCACTGAATATATGAAAATAAAATAAATTACTTAAACTGTATTGATTATCATTACTGAAATTGTAAAAGGAAAATGCAAGGCTTTATCTTTTTTTCTAAAAAGTTACATTAATTTATCATTCTAAACCTTAAACATAGTATGTTTCCAGTGTTGGTTTTATATTTGGTAAAATCGTTAGCTATATAAAGCTTAGTGGGCCCCTTTAAAAAAAACAATGACACCCATTTTATTTTTAGGGCTTTTAAACCATAACAAATTTTTTAAAAAAAATTTCATGTCTGTTATATATTTCAGGTGGACAGTATTGATGTAATTTGTAACTTGTTTAACTTATATCAAAATCCAAATATATTTCATTAAATAATGGCATCATGTAAAAAAAATAAACAAAGCTCATTATTTTTATTTGAAATAATACTGCTTTCATAAGGAATGAAACTTTGCTATTTGTGTGTGTGTGTGTGTATGTCTGTCTCAGCCTAGATGCTTAAGGGTGTTGGATCATGAAACCACTTCTTAAAGAAGTTAAAACTATAATAAAAATTTAAAACCATAGTAATCCTACTGGTAATAACATTCTGATGTAATAGATAAAATTTTGGCTAAAACAAAAAAATATTCTAAAATCAACAAAATAGATTAAGAAAACAGTCAATTATTGTACCCAGTGACAATCAAGGAAACAAAAAATGAAACAATCAAATCTATAATAACAAAGACAAAATTGAGAACAAAACAAACCAAAACTTGAATAGCCTAATGTCATTTAAAAGGCAATTATAAATATACTGAATGGCAAACAGGAATAAAAAAAATAACAAAAGTGACATGAGAGGATTACAAATTAATAGCAATGTAAGCATTCAAATAATTCAGTGTAAATGAAGTTTATATTGTGATATCTACTAGAATCTGAAAAATAATGAAAACATTCTGTATATTGTATATAAAGCAATATCTTATCAAGATGAAATTAAATAAAAGACAGCACTTGGAAGAGAAAAGTAGAAGTATAGTAACTTGGGTGAAATTGAAAGTTATTATAAATGACAAAGAAGCAAAGAAATAATTAATAAATTAATAATGCTATTTATACAATTGTTGTAGTAGCAAAAGGTTATAAGAAGCACAACGAGAAATAAAGGAAAATGATAGATATGATAAATGTAAATGGTAAAGTGAGGATAATGATATTACAAAGGAAAACAAGTGATAGTTTCATAAGATTGGTGATACCACAATGTAAGAACATGAGATCAGTTCTGTATGAAATGATCAGGTTACTTGAATAAAGTTGTTGAAATATAAAATGAATGTAAAACACCCAAGGATAGAAAGAGCAGAAGAATTATATCAACGGAATTTACTATGAATGAATTTACAAAAATATGAAAAAGGAAAATACAAATAGAATGAGTTGGAAAATATAGATTTTTCATACTTTTCATAGCCTATGAGCAGAACTAATAACAAGGATTAAACAGGAATTTGAAACTTAAGAATGAATTAAGAACAAAAGGATTTTAGCAAATACCTACAACAAAAGTTTGTCTACTTTAGACAAGGCATTAAAAAAGCAGAACTGTAGATCACAAATTAAAAAAAAAATAACAAAGCAAAACAAAAAAAAAACAAGACAGACCAATAATCAATATTCACAAACTAAGTGCTACAAGTAAACAAGCATAAAGTAAAATCGTTATAATCTGGTTGCTTGTTCTAAAATGGTTTTGCTCTAGTTTCATTTCTTGGGGAACAAACAGGAAGCAAAATGTCTTCAAACTTTTCTAATTCAGGAATTTATTTATTATTATTTTTTGGAGAACCAACCAACCAATAATGTATTTCCTAGGAGTATTTTAATATGATTAGCTATTTTGCTTGTTTGTAGATATTATATAAAATGATTTAATAAGGCAAAACCATTGATATGAGAAGATCTGTCCAAGTAAATACTTTGTGAAATTCAACATTGCAAAACAAATCAGATTGGTCAAATTCTCTTTAGACAATAATGTAAAAAGTTTATACCATGTGGGCATTGAAAATTTTGAAAATAAATGAATAAGGAAGAAGAGATTGTATTCCTGTCCCAAATCACCTTTTCTGACTCCTGTGATAATGAAACAGAACTAACACTTTAAAAAAAAAGCAATCATAGACTTCAATTTAGAAAAGTTGAAAAATGAGCAAAAGATTCAGCACTAAAGCTAGCTTAAATCTAAACTACAATGCTTTTATTCAGTACATCACCAAGTTTGCTCGAATTATACACTTAAACTACATAAGACTATGCTTTTGTACTTATGATCCCGAAAGCAACAAGTTAGTGTACATGCATAGTTTTACAATATGCCAGGGTATGAAATTATAGCATGTGTCTGTATTGTTGACATACATACACAAATAA